ACTACGGAAGTAGATTGCCCCATCTTCCTTCCGAGGAGTGGCTGGTGGGTTTGAACTGCCAGCCTTCTGGTTAGCAGTCAAGTGCCTGAGCCACTATGCTACCAGAGCTCCCTATTCTAAAGACAGAGTCATTATCAATGTAGCCTCAGAGCAAATGCTATTTTGTGGCAGGTGCAGCTCAGTGTTCACTCACATTGACATCAAAGCATCCAGAAGTTCCCTGACAAGGGCTGTTGTCTCCTTTTTCCCTCTAGCTCATCCCCCCACAACCACCCTCCTGCACAACCCAGCATACATATCATTTCAGTCTTCTTGAGAGAATAATCATTTGCTGATGGGTACTCTTTACAACCAAATGTGAATTTAAATTAGTCTCTGCTTTATGAATCTATAAGTTTGCATTGGAGCCAGAACTAGGATTACAGAGCCAAGGACAGGGAGAGAGGGGGTGGGTTAGCTTTAAAGGATGGAAACACAACAGAATGTATCTAAGATGAATATATTGGTTTCTTCCTCTCTAAGCAAGGTTGGGAGATCTGGTAGCATAGTGCCTAAGGCATGTGACTGCTAACCAGAAGGCTGGCGGTTCATACCCACCAGCCACTCTTGGAAGGAAGATTGACAGTCTATTTTTGTAGTGATACTGCCTCGGAAACCCAAGGAGGGGTTGCTATGAGTCGGATCCAACTCAATGGCAATGAGTTTGGCTTTTTTGGAAACAAGGTTAGGGAGAAGATGAAAAGACTCATCCATGAAACAGTTCTAAAAATTGGCAGGATCTGGACCAGTCTGAAAATTTATCTCTCATTACCAGAGACTCCTGTGTGTATGGAATGTTGTAGGCCTTGTGGGGATGATAGGCAAAATCACTGCTGCAGCTGTCAGAGATTGGTGATACCACAGCATATGAGACCAGAGCTCATAGACAAGAACACGAACAGGCATGTTCTTGTATAAAAAACAAACCCCTAAAAAATAAACACACAAATGATGAGAACTAAGGGCCCGAGTAAGGCATGAGCCTAGGCAGCTTAAGTCACTCAAAGTCATCACTGCCTATAGCTCCAGATACAAGACAAGGCCTAGGTATATCTGAGTCCCTGATCACAGGATGTAGTAGGATAAGGTTCTACCAAAGGAATTAGGAAAACAGTCATGTGAAGATGACCAAGCTGAGGAGTGACCATGTCAATGTCCATGCTGCCCTGAGCACCAACTGGGCACAGGCCCCATCCACACTCAGCATCTCCACTGCCTTCTCCTGTCCTTAACTCTGACACATTCAGCATAGAAAACACATGAATTCTGAAACATTCTCAGGTTTTAATTGATTTCCTCTAAAGTTTTCAGAATTTTCCTCTTTTAATTAACCCATCAACTCTACCACATGGCAAAAATTTGAATGATCAAATTCATTCTCAGATTCTCATTTTCAATTCAGAAGTGAGATATCGCACCTCAGGGTGACAGGAAGTTATATCAGGGTTGTAGACCTTCCAGCCTCACCTCTGTTGGAATGGGGAATGTAGATCAGGGAAAGGACATTGGTGAGTGTGGGGAGTGGGTCCTTGTGGGCAGGGGACACATTAGGCTGACAGGAACACAGACACATTCAGACACCAGCTGCAGAAGAGAAGTCAGTGGTTCCTGAATCACAAAGTGTGGGGCTGAACAAATCTTGTGTCCTGTACAAGGCAGCTATCTCACACTACAGAAGGAAAGAATTGTAACAGATTGAGATCAGGCACTGTAAGTGTTTACACTCTGAACAGACAATTAGAATCTCAAAATGTCAAAATCCAAAGAACCCCCATGACCCAGTCATGTTACCCAATCCTCAATCCTTCCCCCAATGTCTGATCCCACAGGGTCTTACCTGTAGAGGTCGTGTGAGGCACATCAAAGCTTGAGGCCCTGTCACTGGCTGGAGAAGAATAAAAGTAGGGCCTAGTCAGAGCCCACAGAGATGAGACCAGGAGAATGGAATTATGGGGTAAGGGGCTCTCATGGACTCCCTTCTACATTGTCCCAAGAGTCTCAGAATCAGCCTCCCTCCTCCCGTACTTACTTGCAACTTGGGCATAGCTCCCTCCTCTCCCACCTGTGGGAAGAAAGCATTCTCTGAGAGACTGGGGAGAAGGCTCCATTGAAGTCCCAGAAGAGTCAGCTAGTCCTGGACCTCAGGGAAGTTTTCAGAACTGTGACTGCAGACTCTGGGCAGGATAAGGAATCAAGGAAAGATATGCAGGGACTGGAACAACCACCCTCCTGGAAGTCTGTCCTCAGCAGGAATTTCCCATAACCTGCAAGTATGGGAAATTGCATCTCCATAACCAGAACCATTAAGGTGAACATTTGCCCTTCATTTTCACATGTGCTTTACAAAAGAGTAATTGTTAGCACACAGGTCTCCAGACTGGGTCAGCATATATGCCCATAATTAGGCAGGAGACTGCAAATTTCCTACTTGGTACTTGACATCTCACAGTGGGACAAGAAAACTCAGACTCCACCCCCATCTTTACCTGAGCTCTTCTTCCTCCAGATCACAATTCCAGCCACCACAGCACCAATGATCACAAATCCAAGGAGAACTAGGCTAGCAACAATTCCCATGATGGAGGGGCTGGGCAGTTCTGGAAAGAGAAGGGAGGTGAGGAACCCCGCCTGTTTGGAGGGCTCCAGAAGAGCTCCTTGTGTCCCTCCTTACCCAGTCGCAGGGTGAGGGGCTCGGGCAGTCCTTCGTGCTGCACAAGGCATGTGTATCTCTGCTCCTCTCCAGAGGGAACCACCACAGCTGCCCACTTCTGGAAGGTCCCATCCCCTGCTGGCCTGGTCTCCACAAGCTCTGTGTCCTGGGTCTGGTCCTCCCCGTCCCGCTGCCAGGTCAGGGTGATCTCCGCGGGGTAGAAGCCCAGGGCCCAGCACCTGAGTGTCACCTCACTTTCAGTGATGTGGTGATAGGTCACCTTTGTCTTTGAAAGCACTGAGGGGAAAGATGAGACAATGCAGGAACTCTGCATACCTCCCTTGGGCCACCTGAGCAGAGCTCATGTGATCATCCTGAGAATGGACAGGACAATTGGGGTGGAGGAGGGAGTACAAAATACAGATAGCCTAGTCCAGGGATCTGGGAAATTTTCTATTCCTTGCGAAGTTCTAGAATGAGGGTGAGACAGCCCAGAGTTGAATGCTCCAGGGCTCTGTGGCAGAGAACAGGGATTTCTATCTGCCTTTAGCGGAGGTTGAAAAATTCCAAAATGCTGGAACTGGACCTTCAAACTCACTCATGTAAAGTGGAGAACAAGGCCCAGGAAATAAAGTCCACCCTACCCCATGAGTCCCAAAACCTCATCCAGGATCAAAGAGAACTGCTGATGAGTCAGGAATCATCTCCCCTACTCTCCACAGAGGAAGAGAGGAGAAAGGGGGGCACCTGTAGGCGAGACACTCTCTGCTACACGATCTGGAAATCTGTGCTAATTCCTCATTTTCCACATCCATGGGAGGGTGTATTTTTCTTCCCTCTTTTTTAGATGCCAGCAAGGCAGATAGGGTCCCAGACCCAAAGGAGTTCGGGGAGGTGTCCCGCGGCGCCTCATACCTGCGCGGTGCAGCGTCTCCTTCCCCTTCTCCACGTATTTGCAGAGCCAGTCCACGCACTTGGCCTCCAAGAAAGCCCTGGAGCTCTCCACGTGCCCGTCCTCCTCCCACTTGCGCTGTAAGATCTGAGCCCCGGTGTCCGCAGCGGTCCAAGAGCGCAGGTCCTCGTTCAGGGCGAAGTAATCGGCGCCGTCATAGGCGTCCCGATAGTACGCGCGGAGTTGGCGGCCACCAGGCCCCACTTCGCAGCCATGCGTATTCTGGTAGGTGTGAGACCCTGTCCCCGCCTGCGATCAGCCCGGCCCCCGAGCAGCCGCGACCCTGGGGTCTGTCCCACCCCTGCGACCCTGACGCGCGGCGATTGGTCAGAGCGCATTTGAGTCTAAATTAAAAACGAAACTGGAGCGAGGCCTCGCGACTTTTCCGGGTCTAAGGATCGGGCTGATCCAGCGGCCTCTGGGTGAGGTTCGGACCCGGATACTTGGGACGACCTGTCTATGGGGACGATGGGGATTGTTACCTGTGACCGGGACCCGGCGTCACTCACCTCCCTCGCTGTGGTTGTAGTAGCCACGCAGAGTCTGCAGGTTCTCTCGGAAAATATGTGCCATGTATTTCGCGTACCGTGTCTCCCCGTCCCAGTACTCTGGCCCCAACTGCTCCATCCACGGCGCTCGCGGCTCCGCCCTCGGATTCGGGGTGTCGCTGTCGAACCCCATAATCTGAATGTCGTCCACGTAGCTGACGCCGATGAAGCGGGGCTCCGCTCGTCCAGGCAGAGACACGGCGGTGAGGAAATACCTCAGGAAGTGGGAGCCTGGGGGCGAGAGGCGGCTGAGGCACCGACCCTCCCCGCGCGGCGCCCGGGTCCCGGGTCCCGGGGAGATGGGGTCGGGAAGGGAGGAGACGCGAGGGGCTCGAGGACGAGGCGGGGCGGCGGGAGGAGCGGGGCCTGGACGTAGGGTGCGGAGAGGACGGGCGGGAGCCGGGGAGGCGGGAGCGCGGCTGCTCCGAGGGTCCAGCGTCCCCGCCTGGCGCCCCCTCGCTCCTCCTCCGTTCCCTCCCGACCCCCACTCACCCGTCCGGGTCTGGGTCAGGGCCAGGGCCCCCGGAAGCAGCAGGAGGAGGGTCCTGGGTGCCATTCTGGAATTCTGGGGAGCCTAGGACGAATCTGCTTCTTGGCGGGTCCCAGGGGACCTTGTAACCAGGAACCGAGGTGAAGGTGATTGGCTTCTCCAGAAACCGGAGACACAACTGGAGCGAGAACTAGGGCAGCGTCACTGTGTTGAAGCAGAATGAGCTGACATGGGCTTTGATAGGTAGAAGTGAAACCCCCAGGAGATAGGTATCCCCACCCTTGACCCCGCCATCTAGTCTAAGAGCCAAGCCCTGGTATTTGGACTTTGCCCTGACCCCTTTCCTCCCGCTGGAATCTTTTTTGCTACACTGTCTCCTGGAGTCCTAGGCCAGGGCCTGCTTAAGTCAGAGATTCTTGTTAGTTTCAGAATCTCTTTGTTGTTGTTGTATGTCCTGGAGTGGATTTCATAGAGACCCTATAGGACGGAGTAGAACTGCCCCACAGGGATCCGACTCCTAGCGACCCTTCCTTGGGTTTCCCGAGGCAGTATCACTATGGAAGCAGATTGCCCAACCTTCCTTCTGAGGAGTGGCTGGTGAGTTTGAACCGCCAGCCTTCTGGTTAGCAGTCAAATGCCTTAGGCACTATGCCAACAGAGCTCCTTTTAAAGGTGCTTGTTGTTGTTGTTGTTGTGTGCCGTCGAGTCGGCCCCGGCTCATAGCGACCCCTCCTTGGGTTTCCGAGGCAGTATCACTACAGAAGTAGGATTGCCCAACCTTCCTTTAAAGGTGCAGATCCCCTTATCTTTTCTTCTGCAGAGCAGTTTGTGTATTCCAACCACCAACCTTTGGGTTAGAGCCAAGAGCTTAGACATTGTGCCACCAGAGCTTCTTAGAATTTCTATTCCCTCTTACAAAAATTATGAGGAAGCCAAAGAGATTTTGTTTATATGGATTATATCTACCAATATTAACCATATAAGAAATTGGAACAATTTAACATTCTAAAATAATAACCCATTGAATGATAATGGTGATAATATATTTTCATGAAAAATATAAATATTTTGCAAAATAGAACAATGCAGTGAGAAGAATGGATGATTGTGCACTTCTCTTAATCTGTGTCCATAGAAACTTCTGGATTTTCATATATACTTATGCATGCACTCTGTTATTTTGATTCATGTGTATACAGAAAATCTAGCTTCACATAAATAGGAAGTTGGATAAGGGAGGAATATATTTAATATCATTTCCAAGTACTTGTGAATCTTTGATAGCTCACTAAAGCTACAGAAGTTTAAGTTTCTTAAAGGTTAGTTGCAATTGGAAACCCTATTATTGAATATTTCAGATTTTGTTCATAAAAACTATAGATCCATCTTGCACTTTGAATGAATCTCATACTCATACTCATACTCATAATGCATGAGTTTTTTTTTAAGTGATGCATCAGTTCATTGAATATGCAGATTTTCTAATGTTGACATATTGCATTACAAAATATCAAAGGAAATCTTATATATGCACTTTTGTGCTACAAAATTAGCCACACACTTTACAGAAGCAATAGAAGACAGAATTGGAGTAACCTCTCAGGCACAACTAAACACCTTGAGAGGGAGAATCACCGAGCCTGACAAATGGGACCATCGTCTCAGGGGACATCATGCTCAATTGGCACAACATAGTACATAAAAATCTTGTTCCACAACCTACTTTGGTGAGGAGCAACTGGGGTCTTAAAAGCTTTCAAGTGGCCATCTAAGATACAACTATTGGTCTCCTCTCATGTGAAGCCAAAAAGAGTGAAGAAAATCAAAGGTGTCTGGGGACAATTAGTCCAAAGATAAGATGGACCATGAAGACCTCAGCCTTCATGATGCAGAGCCTAGAAGAACTGGATGTTGCCTGGCTACCAATGTGAACCACTTGGAAAGGGGTCAAAAGTGGATATCCTGGATAGAGTGGGAGGGAAAATATGGAACAAAATCCAAAAACACAAAAATGACCAGTCTGGTGGAACCCCTAAAATTATGGCCCTGGGTTACCCTTCAGCCTTAAAATTGGACTCACCCCCATGGATTGTCTCTCAGCCCAACAGTAGAAAGACCTACATACAGGACACCTACCCCAGGGAGATGCACCCACCTACTGGAGGGAAATATACCCCTTGGAGCAATTGGCCATGAGGCACCAGGGGAGCAGCACTCACCTAGAGGGAAAGCTGGACAGACAGGAGTGCATAGTTAAGAAGGGCACAGGGAGGGGGTGGTCCCAGGGATGGGCAGGGAGGAGAGCTTGTTATGGTCGGGGATGGTAATCGGGGTGTAAAATCAAATGTACACAAACTGTTGAATGTAGAACAAATTTGTTCTGTAAATTTGAGTCTATCAAAAGACTCACATTTGTTCGTATTACCATTCATCTCAGTAGAAAAATTTGTGAGTTTTGGTGAACTGTCAAACTTGTAGTGGATACAAGCATTCCAATATTTTAATCGCTTCAGAGGTTATGTTTTATCATTAGTAACAATACAGTCAATTGGTTTCCTTGAAGTAGCAGGCTTACTAGTTGTTCATTTTCGAGGAAGTGCTAAATATTCAAGACAGCTTCTCTGTCATTCCTTCTTTCAAGAAAAAAATGGTATCCCCAAAAAAGAGGCTAGTTCAGCTCACACAAAATATTTCCCTTTCCTTGAACAAACACCATACTTTGGAATGTAGAAGTGGTTTACATGCACTTACCACTTTTGTACCACTTCACCAAAACCTAACCCACAGCCCTCTAGTTGATTCCAACTCATTGCCACCCTATAGGCCAGAGTAGAACTGTCTCATAGGACTTCCAAGGTTATAAATCTATAGAAACAGTGCTGGTGGGTTCAAACCATGGACCTTTTTGGTTAGCAATCAAACACCTTTACCACTGCTGCACCAGCACTTCTTCAGGTCATCACACACTCCCCCCCACACACACACACAAACTCACTGCTGTTGAGTTGGATCCAACTCATAGCGACGCCTCCTTGGGTTTCCAAGGTGGTATCTCTACGGAAGCAGATTGCATCACAGAAGCTATTAAAAGACATAGGCTCAAAAATGGTGATTTAATAAAAATGAATAAATTCTAATGCTTCAATCAGTTCATATTTAAGTGTAGCTGCTTTTGTTTTTTGTTTGTTTTTCCTATCAGCAGGTGATGGTGAAGAATACAGTTACCATTGCAGTTTGATGACACAGCCTAGATTTTTGTTAAGATCCCAGCTGATCTATTTTCAGTACAAATATCAACACATGAGAAAGACTGATAATTTCTTAGTAATGTGAAAATTGTTTTGACTTTATGGATCTTGTGAGAGGATCTCAGTGACTCTAAGAGTTGCACAGATCACATTAGGAGAACTGCTGTTCTGATTAAACTGGGAAGAATCCCCTAAATGGCCCATGTTCTTTGCCTTCTCTTCACTTCTCAGAATCCCACTCCCTGAGCTGGACTCTGAATCACAAAGCTTAGCTCAGAACTCTTCCCATGGGCTCTTCTTGAAGAGAATTTACCCCTGGAAATGTAATGCCTGAGAGTGTCCTCAGGCAGAATACTGAGGTGGAGGGAGCAATGTTTCCCTTTTGGAACTGGAAACATTTATGCTTGAAGGAACCAGATGAAGATTCACTCATGACAGAATTTGTTCCTGTTACACACCAGCTTCATGTATATCCATATCCCAGATGGTTGGAAATCTAATGGAATCTCTGTGAGAAATGATAAAGAGCATTATAAATGCATCTGTGGCACCTGAGGGAGCTCTGTTGGCATAGTGCTGCTACGCTCTGACTGCTAACCAGAAGGCTGGCGATTCAAACCCATCAGCCACTCCTCGGGAGGAAGGTTGGGCAATCTACTTCTGTAGTGATACTGCCTCGAAAACTCAGGGAGGGGTTGCTATGTGTCGGATCTGACTCGGCAGCAGTAAGTTTGGTTTGGGTTTTTGTGGCACCTGATAGGTCCATAAACCATCAAGAGCAGTGCTGTCAACAGAACTTTCTGTTTGAAGGAGTTGTATATCTGTGCTGTTCGATACAGTAACCACTAGCCATGTGTGGCTACTGAGCACTTGAAATGTGTCTAGAGGGATTAAGCAACTGAATTTTTTATTTTAATTAATTAATTTAAATAGCCACACCTGACTAGTATCTATCATATTTGACTGTACATATCTAGTTGTTGTTAGGTGCCATCAAGTCACCTGTGACTCATAGTGATCCTATATACAACAAAATGCAACAATGCCCGGTCCTATCCATTCTTACAATCCTTGCTATGCTTGAGCCCATTGTTGCAGCCACTGTGTCAATCCATCTCAATAAGATGTGGAGGGTCTTCCCCGTTTTCACTGACCCTTATACTTTACCAAGCATGATCTCTTTCTCCAGGGGATGATCCCTTCTGATGACATGACCAGTGTAGGTGAGACAAAGTCTGGCTTTTCTGGCTTGTAAGGAGCATTCCAGCTATACTTCCTTCAGGATAGATTTAATCATTCTTCTGAAAATTCATGGTATTTTCAGTATTCTTCACCAACATCACAATTCAAAGGCATCAATTCTTCTTTGATCTTCTTCACTCATTGTTGGGAGCTCTGGTAGCATGGTGGTACCTAAGTCACTTGACTGCTAACCAGAAGGCTGGTGGTTCAAACCTACCAGCCACTCCCTCAGAGGGAAGGTTGGGCAATCTACTTTCCTAGTGATACCTCCTCAGAAACCCAAGGAGGGGTTGCTATGAGTCTGGTCAGACTTGAAGGCACATAACAACAACAACTCATTGTCCAACTTTCACATGCATATGAGGGGATTGAAAATGCCATGGGTTGAGGTAAGCAGCACACCTTTGTCTTCAAAGTGACATCTTTGCTCTTTAACATTTTATAGAGGTCTTTGGCAGCAGATTTGCCCAGTGCACTACAGCACTACAGCATATGATTTCTTCACTGCTGCTTCCATGGGTGTTAATGTTCTTATCTAGAGTGTCCTAAATTTTCATTCGTTCCTCCAAAATTATT